GTATAAATCTCAGGTCTCTGTGGTGGTCTGAGAAGTATTCTACCTGGTTTCAGCACTCTGTTCATCTCATTGTATGAGGCAGGCCGTGATGATGAATAGATGCATCTCTGAATAATAATTGTTGCCCTGTACATCCCAAAATGCTATAGAAAAAAATCAGGATGAAATATATTTTGACAAGAGAAGACTTAACATTGTAATACCTCTTTCAGTTGCTCTATGTTTAAATAGGGGGAAGGCAGTGATGTAAGCTAATGAAAAATCAGCAGTGCAGAGATTGTCTTTAGGAAAAGCCAAAATTGATTTCAAATTTCAGATGTTAAAAGCTCTCTGTGGGTATTTTGTTTGACTTGGTTCTTCAGTGATGGGCCTAAAGATGCCAATAACTGTCTTGCACAGAAAAAGAAGTGTGGTGGTGGTGCCGACTCCAGTTTGCCACTGAATACTCCTGCACAGGTTGTTTGTCTGGGCTTGGATGGTGCTTGTCCTTGTGCTGTCACGTGTTCTACCAGAGAGGAAGGAGCTGGTGCTGAAATTTGTTGCGTGAGGCTGTGTTGGTTTGCTTGTTAGGCACATAGCCTAGGAGTCACATCTGGTTTTCATTTTCTTAAGAAAAGCACCGAATTTTGTTTTCAGTTGAAGCCAGGTCTACATGTAACAGGAAACGATGTATTGCCAGCTTGCACGGAGCAGGGTTAGTCCTGGAGCAGCAAGTAGCTGAGCTTGCTCCTGGACCTCTTTGAGAAGTGGTGCTGCAGGGGCTTCTCTGCTGCCCTCCTTCAAGTCATCTTAAAAAGCAGAAGGTGCTCAGAGCAGGAGTACAAAGGAAGGGGTTGATCCAGTTGCCCTTTCTTCCTTCTTGTTGCAGGAATGAGCAGACTGTGCTCCATCCTCTTTTCTTGCCCTGTGGACTTTCTTTATTGTTTCGTACAGGTTTTCTTATTTCTGGAATGCATTAATTCAATAAAAAGTCTGGAGATATTTCTGCCCTTTCAGACTTGTGCGGGAGCCTCATGCTAGCAGCAAAGCCCAGAGGTGGCATTTGAGGCTCCAGCAGGGGACTAAACCCTGTTAAATTTTTCATCAGTGTGAACCAATGTTGTGTGCTCATACCTTTGCCACTCTTAGAGTTGTGTGTTTAGTTTATACAGTTTTATTTGATGATAATTGGGATTGGTAGTTAAATATTGGATGGGTTTTGGCCATCCTAGCCTTTTATGGGAAATGATTGTTTGCTTTTGAAGTTTCACTAATGAGCGTATTCAATGTGTTTGGTACCTGAGGGTTTCACTCTGATTCTCCTATGTGCTGGGATCGCTTCTGAGTTTTGGAATAAATGGTTGCAATTCTTTATGGTTGTATTTCACAGCAGACAGGTAGCAGAGGTTAGATTTTAACTCCCAAATACTGAGTTTAAATTCCTCCTAGAACTTTTTTTTTGTTCCTTGTAGTTTCCTCATCCTCTAGCTGCTGTAGGGTTGAATAAAAGAAATTACCTAATCAGAGCATAGGGCTTACAGTGATGCTGATACTGAAACTAATAGAAAAATGAGGAGGATTTAATGCTGTTTTCCTGGTAAGGTTTTTTGGGGGATTTTCAGAAGAGGAAGAGAGCTGTTACTTTTAAGTTTTTGAGCAGTAATTGGAGGGACTCTGAAGGGAAAGCTTTATAATTTCTCACTAGTTACTGCTCTCAAAGGTTTATACACAAAATTCTCAGTGACACCATGGAGCCATTCAATTTAGCAAAGAAAAGAAAGTGTGATTGTAAGTGGGAAAAACAGATGCAGCTTTCTATTGCTTTCTCACCGTGGATGAAAGCTGTTAAGTGGGAAAAGCATAAAGACTTTCCCTGTGACAGACTGTACTTTTGAAGTGTAGGTGGTGATGAAGCTGATTGGTCTGGAACTAGTTGAGTTCTTGGAAAGTTGTTGCCTGCACGTACTTGATAATACAGAGAACTTGATTTAGGGATGTGAACTGTGAACTAGTGAACTTGCAGACATGAGACCATCTGCATTTCACCTGTACTGAACTATTTCTTTTTAAATGACAGTGAAGAGACTTAGTAACCAGGCCTCAGTAGGTGTTTCTTTTGCTTTTGTTTAATCCTGGTTGAGAGGTAATGATTTATATTGTCAATCAAGATAATCTCTCTCTGAGACCATAAACCTATTTCTTCTGCAGCCTTGTATTTTGTCTCCTTATCTGCAAGAAATGTGACAGTTAGTATGAAACCCTCTGGTTTGTGACATATGTTATAGATGCTGAAGGAATTTTGACTTGCGAATATTTAAGGAAAGGGAAAAAAACCCCACAACTATATAAAGTGTTTTCGTAATTTTTTTTTTTCCCTTTAGACTTGCTTTTTATGTGAGAGCTTTTCCAGGGTTACATCTGGTTGATCAGGGACTTACATGAAGCTTTCCACCTGCAGAGATAATAATGTTCACTAGAATTTGAGTTCTAAAGTTGGAGTTCAGTCAAGGTGTAGATAATGCTGGTGAAACCATGCAATAATATGATGTGCTTTACAGATGCAAAAGTACCTGATTTCTTGTCAGGCTCTGTTGTCTCTTCCTGCATGGAATGTTCTTCAGAGATTGATCTGATCAAGACAAATTCAAAAATTACCTACCTGTCTGTAGAAGAAAGCACTGAATTGTTTGGGTAGAGGCAATGGAAGGGAATAATTTCTCAGTGCTTTCAGCTTATGCTTGATTGCACTGAGAGATGCAGAAACAGCTACACTGGGTGAGAGGGGCACTGATGTGGTGTTTCATTGTGCTTGTGATTATAAATACCTATAAGAGCTTTATAAAACAAACAAACTTTGGGGAAGAACTACTTCAAGTGTGGGCAGTGTTGGAGGGAGGAGCCTCCTTAAAAGGCTGCTAGTCTAGAAGTTGGCAGAATAAGTATGCCCTTCCGATAAATACCAGCTTTTAACCAAAGAGATTGGAGTTTTAAAGATGAGCAGAGTATTTGCCTGGTTCTTCCAGCCCTCGTAGCTCTTTGCTCCTTCTCCTGCAGTGTGAATGTCTCTTAAAAAAAAACAACAAACAAACAAAAACCAGCCTGACCCCATCGTTCACACATAACCCTGGAAGGAGGAATGGTTTGGAAAGAGAAGTGAAAACACCTTGCTGCTTTGTATATGGAAGATATTATTGAACGTCGTAACTATCATAAACTAAACTGTTCTTCAGATACCGTGGGTTTCTTCAGGCTGAAGCACAGTTTCCAGGCTGAGCCCTGAGGTGCGCTGGCCGTGGCCGCTGGTTTGTTTTAGCGCGCGAACCGCTGGGCGTTCTCTGTGCGCTGAGTGAGCTGGATGTGGCAGGAGGCTGCCCAGGGTGAGGATTTGCAGTGCCTGGACATTGAGCCGCCTGTTGTGTTGTTGATTTCAGCAGGGGGGAGAGGATGCTGGCTTTTTTCACCCAGAGGGCCAGCCCCAGCGGCCCCAGCAACCCCCGGAGCCGAAACAGCAGCCAGTGCGGAAGGTCACATTGACAAAGGGAATGCAACAGCAGCAGCACCAACAGCAGGCAGAGATCCATTCACCAGCTCCTCAAGGAGTCAAAAACATCCAGGGAATCCATCAACCTAAAAAGGTGATTTTTAGATGCGTATTGCTGCTAGAAGTTCTACTGTCTAGCTGTGTTGCTCTATGAATAACCTGCATTCTGTTTGTCAATTGCTAGCACAGGGCTACATGACCCAGGAATTGCATAATTGCATAAAAACCTTCTAATCTAGAGAGACCTGTCTGTACCGAGCACAAACTGGAGATGCCTGCAGGTTGTTTCATCTGCTGACGTTCTGGCCAACAAGTGCTCCTAGGGGGAAATGTGTGGGTTCCAAGAGAGCTGCTGTAGGAGGTGGTATCCAGCGTGCTTTCTGGCTTTTAAACCAAGAGTTTGTCTGAAGTTTGTTTAATCTTTTATTCTGGCTGCTTCCTGCATACGTAGGAGCGCGCAGCGACTGTTCCAGAGTACCTACCCTTTGGTCGATCGTGACAACAGTTGGTGGTCTCGTAACTGGGGTTTTGGGAGGAGGCAGGGAAAGGGTTTGAGTGGCTGTGGCATATACCTTCTCTGCATTTGCAAACTGGCATGCTCCCTGAAAACAACTGATATTTTTCTTTTAAGTTATTTCTTGATTTTGAACTGTTGGCCATAATCTTCCTGCTTCCTGTGAGAATGAAAGTTTCCTTGCCGATGCAGAGGGATGTGAAAAGTCAATACCCTCCATAGGCTTTCCAAGTAGAATTGGAGAAATCGTCTTGAGTGTTAACTTGGTGGTGTTAACTCTGTTTATTGTTCGTTACTCTGTTTCATTGTTATTTTTCTTCTCTCCAACTACTCAACCTTTAATTTACAAGAATTAAATCCACATATTACCTGCTCTAAAGGATACTGTGGTGCCAGATCCTACAGGATTAGAGTGAAAAGAACTTTGAAAAAAGTTGTTTTAAATTTATTTAACATAGGCAAGTACTCCATCCTGATAACAGTTGATAGCAATAGAGATGGGAGGTGCTTGAAGCAGTTTGCTGGTCTTGTGATGACATTAAATTTATCTGGGGATAGAGAAGAGAAGAGAAGAGAAGAAGGAGAGGGATCGCTGGCTGGTTGTTTTTGCCACATTCAAAATATGGGAACTGAACACATGCTGCGAATATGATCAGTTGTTGAAAACTGGGTTATATAATTTGATCTGAGACCCCCTCCACTGCTTGGTTGATCTGTGTGAAGCTGAGGCTATTAGCCATTATATGTAACTCAGTATATAACTTGCTGTCCTTCTGAAAGAGGTTCATATAGGCAGTAGATGAATATGTTAATAAACAGCCTTTGAAATCAGCAAGCAGCAACAAGCTGTTTTAAATCAAGTCTTTAACTAAATCGCCAACTTTTCTATCGTCTGTCAAATGCAGCGAGCAGAAGCACTAGGTAAGTAAATCAAAATACTATTACTTTTGTTGTTGGCAGGTCATTATGCACGGCAGAGGCAGAGGAGTAGCAGGCCAGATGGGCCGAGGACGCTTGATGCCAAATAAACAGAACCTGCGAGTGGTGGAGTGCAAACCTCAGCCCTGTATTGTGTCAGTTGAAGGGCTTTCTTCATCAACTACTGATGTCCAACTGAAAAACCTGCTGATGTCAGTGGGACCCATTCAGGTAGGTCAACCTCGGTTTATCATTTTTGTGCCAAAAGGCTTTCATTCCGGAAAGCTCAATTAATTCCCTGACACTAAATACAATGTGTGTTTATTGGTAATTTATGTTTGAAGGCACCCCCACCCACACACGCTACACCTGGTAGCAAAGACAAGCACGTGATGATATTGCGGCACGGGAGGTACGGTAGGATTTTTGCTAACCACCACATTCCGGCTACGGAAGAGTCTCCTTCACTTTGGAGTTCTTTATTTTCTTTGACAATACAAGCCTGTCCATTCTGTGAGGTTAAAGCCAAATGGTCCTATCAAAGGAAATGTATTTTTAGTCCCTCTCCTTGTTTTTTATTGTTGACTTGAGCCTGCCCTCTGTTTTTGACATTTACCTTTGTCTGTTGTTGCACTCCTGAGGTAAGAGCACATAAGGACCAGTGATTTTGTACCATATAGCCCCATCCACTTTTTCAGATGAAAGCACAGTCTCCTCGGAAGGATTTTATTTATCTTTTTTTTTTTTTTTTTTTTTAGCAGATTCTATTTAGGAGCGGCCTGTAAGCAAGGTTATGACACACACTGGTCTGTCTACTGTGAAGCTTCTGTTTGTAAAGTGCCTCCTGGCACAGATGCATCAGTTAAACTGGCTTTAGGAAAACAGGAGGTTTTCAAAGCACTGAAGGGCTTAGGAGGCCATGTCTGAGTTATTGTTAGTACATTTGAAAATATCAATCAATTAATAATGAAGTATACAGATGAGAATTGTTTGTCCTTGATTTTTTTTTTTCAGTTTCGAGTGCTGCTTTTGACAGGATCAGCATTTTCAGAGAAATGAATTGGAGCTATTCTGTGAGACTGCTCTATTAGTGGGTTCATCTCTCTGTTGCAAAACATACTGCTCTCCTAAAGATCTACACTCTGCCTCACTCCTTCCCAATTTAGGAAATGAAATAACACTGAATTATTTACGTCATCAGCTCAGAGAGGTTTAATTTGTTTCTGAAAGCAAAAATGCTCTTACAAAATACTTTGTCCCTTCATGTTCTGTAGTACTCTAGGAAGTTATTCATACAGTTCCATAGCGCATTTATTCAGTGTTTACTTGCTAAATCTTGTGTGAGAATATTAGAAGGAGATTAATAGAAACCCCCAGTATTTCCTGTTAGGAAATACTCAGAACTGAGAGAAGTTATTGAGCGTATGCTAAAAAAATTTGTTCAGTACTTGCTGTTTCAGAGCAGACTCTGATCTCTCAATTCAGTGTCACAGACTGATTTAGAAGGATGTACTTATAGGAAAATACAATAACTATTTTTCTGTTGGGATTTGATACATCCCTGTGCCCTTCAGAACTTACATTCTTGCAGCAGCATCAGCTGGACCTTTCGAAATTGTGATTTCTAAATCATCACCTATTTTCACCTTGTCAGAGATCGAGCAGTAGTACTTGAAAGAGATTCTTGAATTTAGCTAATGATGCAGAAGGCTTTTGTGGTAATTCTGCACTTGAAATTCAAGTCTGACTTGCAGAAATTTCCTGCCTTGTTTGCCTGAATGGTGTTTTGCAAGTGTGGGTAGTGAGATATGCAGAGGAGACTCAATCCTTTTAAATGAAGAGTATGGGACTGGTACTGACATATGCAGTATTTAGCTTTTTGGGGGTTTATTATTTTTTGTGATATCATGAGAAGCGTTAACACAGAAGTGCAACACATCAGATGAGGAAGAGGCAGCAGTAGTTTTACATGCTTAGTAAGACAAGAACTGAAAACAAAATGTTTGAAAATCTATGTTGTTCCTGTTCACAGCAATTACTTTTCTAAAGATGGTGCTAGATTTTCAAAGTTACCCTGAAGTGCACAAGCAAATTTTCTTGTGGCTGTAAATTAATGTTTTTACTAGTGTTTGTGCTCAAAATCCCCTGTAGCTGGAAATGATCAGGAGGCTCTGATAGTAAAGGGATGCTCTGCTTGGTTATTTCCTCATTCTTCCTTTAAAATGCGCTTCATGTAAGTGTCTTGCCATGAGGAGAGCAGAAGTGAGCTGCTGCAGAGAGACAGTAGTGGATGGCTCCTTGCCACGTGGGCTTCGTGCATGAGGACAGTGTGTGTGAGAGGCAAGGACAGTCGTGGCCATGACCAAAGCAAAGGGGTCTTGGGTGCTGCAGAGCTCAGCTCTTCTGAGGTGAAGTGCTGCAGCTTGATGAACTGAAATAAGAGGGGTTTGGGGAGAAAAGAGCATGGTGAGAAATTCTAGCAGCTTTCTTTGGAAATGAAGAAGAGTGTCAGGTTTTTAGCTGCTTCAGATGGTGTTCAAGAGGTAGTAAGGGGACTCCATATTTAAGATGTAGAATATCCTGTCTTTAACTGTTGGCTATATTCAACAAAAACTTTCCTTAATGAACTGAACTCTGGGATACTGGTTTCTTGAATTCTCTTTATCTAGGGGGCAGGGGAATGTGTGTCAAAATCATGCTTATTTTTTGAAAAAAAAACCCCAGATTTTAAATCTGAATTAGAACTTCAGGAGTTACCTTCCTGCCTGGGTGATTGGCACATGCCTCAAATTCCTGGTTAAAGGTAAAGATTCCCAAGGACATACAGCTCCAACGGGAAACAAGCATTGCTCCAAAGCGATGTGCAAATGCAGCTCAATAAATGTGAATATTGCTTCTTGTGTATCAGTTTCTGCTGCAGTCAAGACATGAATGTGGGAACGGCTGCACCGAGACGCAGCTACCAGAGAAGGGGGAGAAATAAACTTCCCAGCGATCTCTCCGCTCTTTCACAACAAGAATAGATCCTGAGTACTTGTCCCACTTGGTACGGGACCTCTGCTTAATCTGCACCTTCCGTGCTGGTGCCTCTGTATAGCGATGGATCCCACTTGGACTCCTGTTTTTAAAGAGAGTTTGGCTTCTGATTTCACTGCAGTGTGCTTATCCTGCATGTGTTTTCTCAGCAAGAGGATCTTCGCTGACATAACAGAAACTTTTAACGTATTTATCAAAAAGTCTAATTTATCATTGGAGTGAATGAGGAAGAAGAGATTAATTACTTAGGTTTTTAGATACAGAAGGATTGGATTTTTGGTTTTAGGTTTTCGTGTCAGTACTAGTATTGCAGTACAAGTCCCTTGCACAAACCTTGGGGAGCTGAAAACTTCCCTCGATATATGGTATTCAGTGTTCCTTGCTTTGTCATCAGCTTCGATGAGGTGTTGGTTCTGTGAGGTGGGGTTTGTGAATAGCTGGATGTGCATAAGGGGAGGAGACTTCTACAGGTGACTTTGGAGATTAAGCAGTTTTTCCCTTCCATGCCCCAGAAATGGAGAAAATGGCCTTTTCTGTTCTATGAGCTTTGAAATACCCTCTGTTGCCTCATCACTGAAGACTTTCTAATTCTTGTCCTTGCTTCATTAAAGCTGCTCTGTTAGTAACATAGGGAAAAAAAATACTATTCAGGTTCTCAAGATACCTGATGGAAGAAAATCTTGGGGAGTCTGGGAACAGCCCCTTGGTCACAGCTGCATTTTACAACTCAAATGTCGTTAAATTAGCATGTAAAGTGCTTCTTTTCAACATATAGTTTGCTCTCAGACTCTTTTTGGAGAGAATAGTGTACCTGCAGTAAAATCTGAGTGCTGAATCTAAAATAATTACAAGCTGTAAATAAAATTATGCATTCTTGAGTGCTTGAAAATACAGAAGATTTCTGAGCACACTACCAAAATAAAGTCTCCTGCAGACCGTGCTGGAGCAGTGACACTCAGTACACAGCCATCTGAAACCATTTGCTAAAGTAGATTACTAATAAGTTGCAAAGGTCATGAAAAACCCAGCACATTTTTTTTGTGTGCTCTTGAATCAGGGTTTAATTCTAAAAAGATTTGTGTTCAGCTAGTCATTACCACCTTCACATTAATTTTTTCTTTTATAGGATGGTGGGAGGTGGAGGCTATCATTTGCTAGATCTCCAGATAATTTGAGTACTGAATGATATTTTTGTAGCAGTGTTCCATCATCATCTTTGATTGTATTTTCTTGCAATCCTAAAACGGCAGCGCAAAATCTCAGTATTGCTTTGTGAAGATTTAAGATCGTAGATTCCGATGTTAAAAAAGGGAAAAATAAATACTTGACAAACTCTGTTACTGTATATCACAAGGGATGAGAATGTTACAATTGTAGGTGTATTTTGAGTAGTTTTACAAATGTGAGTTTTAGTGTGATGATGTAGTCTTGTCTTTTCTGGTCTCAGAAAGGAAAAACAGTTGCTGTTTTGATGTGCTTCACTTTCTTAGAGTGACAGTGCTACCTAGTGCTCAGTTCGGGTAAAGGCAGCTGTCTGCACTGAGACGTATTCAAAATTGCTGAATTTATTTTCAGCGTGAAGACATATGGGGTAGAAAGGACCAGCACACATAGATGAGTGTGCCCAGAACACGAGTGCTTTCGCAGATCAGCAGGGCTGTTCTCCATGTGACGCGGCACACAAGACACACAGGTGACCTGTGGGGTCTTCCTCCCTGTAAAAACATTTTTCAGCTGTTGCAGAATCACGGAACTCTTGGGGCTGGAAGATACCTCTGGGATCATCAAGTCCAGCCTATGAAGCTCTGGGAGAAGTCATAGGTGGTCCTGATCCATGCTTGGGGCTGGGGGAAGAGAAGAGCAGCTCCATCACGAGCCTGTCAAGTTCAGCCCTGCTGTAGAGCAGTACATGGGCTCCAGGTGCCCATCTCAGTGACAGAAGATCCCTTCTTCTCAGAAACATCATAGAAAGGGTTGGGTTTGTAGGAACCTTAAAGATCATCTAGTTCCAACCCCCTTGCCATGGACAGGATCACCTTCCACTAGGTCAGGTTTCTTCATCTCAGCTTGCATTTGGAGAGGGAAAGCTGGACACTTTTAAAGGCAGACTTTAGGAAGTCAAAGGTGGCAGACAAGAAGGAAGAAGGGACAAAATGTGGAAGAGAACAGTTGGAATAGCTGAGGATAAAATAAAT